AAAGCCTGAGAGAATGTTTTCTCTCCATGTGACTCTCCTTAGGCACACTCTACATCATTGATCACTTTCCTCATTGGCCCCATAATCTCCTTGATCAGAAAATTAAGGATACTACTGAGTTACGTGATGTTACAGTACAAGTTCTCATATGTCCTGAGTCTTAATTGACATGGGAAGGCTAGGGCCAACATGTTGGCTTTCCTTGCGGCCTTCTTTTTCTCTCATTTTTCTTTTCTTTTCTTTTTTTTTTTTTTTTTTGGTTCATAGGTTCGGTTTAATTTTTTTTCCATAATTTTATTGATAAACAAATAGCTATGAGACAGTTTCAAACCAAATTGGTAGGACAGTTTCAATAATTAACACATTGCATACATTCTTCCTAGTGGTTAATTGCTGTATAATTTTCTCTAATTTTGGTCTGCAAACTTAGGTTGTTAACTATCCAGAAGACAAGCTTATTGTTATTACCATACAGCTTAGGCTGTTAAGCTTAACCTCACTATCTGTCTGAATATCATACATCTTAGGCATAAACAACAGGTATTTTTCATCAAGTATTGATATGTTGAACTTTAAGTCCCTGCAGAATATGATGAAAAACGTTTGAAAATTAGAATATATCTTAAAAATAGGCATAAAGAATTATATACTTCTTATGTGTACACTTAAGTCCAAAAATCTAACTATATGCCACCTTGAAGCAGGACAATCCCACAACATTCCTTTTCCTGTCTCCTGTCTTCATTCACCACCCCCTTCTTTTTGAACGAGATGTTTTATTTTATACTCTCAGGCTTGTTTCTTTTTGCCTATGCTCAGTGCTTAGTTTTTAATAAATTCCAGCTGTGGGTGAAATGTTCTTTTAAGCACTATTGATTATTACTTAATCAAGACAGCCTTCTAAAAGCTTTATTCTTATCTCCCTTTGACATGTGAGACTTTTTTTTTTTTTTTTGGTACCAGGGATCAAACTCAGGACATTGTGCTTACCAGGCAGGAACTTAATACCACTGAGCTACCTTTCCAGCCCTGACATGTCAAGACATTTTATTCATTCATTCATTCATTCATTCATTTATTTACTTAGCAGGACTAGGGTTTGAACTCAAGCCCTTGCGCTTGCCAGGCAAGTACTTATTCTACTGAACCATCTCCCCAGCCCCGTCAAAACATTTCTTCTGCACACATATTTAATGCCTACAAAACAAGTCTCTTTCTGCTGAACTTCTGAAACCTCACTTTTGCTTTTCTGTTATGTGCCTGTGTCTCTAATTGAGGTTGTCTGGCAGCTTTCTAAATGAGCTCTTGTGTTAACTACTATCCTTGTTACTGAGATAAAATACCCTACAGTCAAAGTTAAATGGGGACAGGTTTATTTAGCTCACAGCTTATTAAGGTTTCAGTGCATAATCCACTGGCTGCAAGGTTGGATGGCACATGACAGAAGGGCAGCAGTTCATGGTGGTAGAAGACAGCAAAAACAATAAGGGAGAGCAAGAGGAACCTCTTTCTGTCCCTATTATTGTATTCAGTCTATCAGGATTAGGGCTGTGCCAGTCCAATCAGTGGATTGATCCAGCAGTCACCCACCTTCATTCCTGTACCCAATCCCAGCAGTGCATTACAAAACAGTCACATGCTCTAGATTATCAGCCACTTCCACTAAACCCCTGTGAGCACATGAGGCTTTGGGGGCACATCTAGACACAAGCCATAACAGCTCCTTTTTTCCTTGCCCCTGTATCCAGCTTATTTGCCATTGCTGCCAGGGATGTCTTCCTAAAAGACATGCCTGGTCATAATTCTACTGTGCTAAAAACTTCTGGTAACTTCCCATTTAGTGCAAGTGAAATCCAGTTTTCCTACTGTGACACATAGCACCTGCACCTTTTGTAATGTTGGGGTTTTTTTTTTTTTTTTTTTTTTTTTGCCTACTAAATGGCTTGTGTGTGTGTGTGTGTGTGTGTGTGTGAGAGAGAGAGAGAGAGAGACAGACAGACAGACAGACAGACAGACAGGATCTCTCCAGGTAGTCCAGGCTGGCATTTGAACTCACTATGTAGCCCAGGCTGGCCTCAGACCTGTGGAGATCCTCCTACTTCAGTCTCTCTAGTGCTGGGACTACAAACCTGCATCACTATGCTCAACAATTTTTTTACCTTTAAGGATTCCTACAATGTAAAATTTTTGATTCTTGGTAGAACTTCTGATACTAACCCAGTGATCTCTCAATAGGTTTAATCTTGTTCAGCGAACAGCACAAGCTTGCACAGCTCTGGCCTTTAACCTTCGTAGACAGTCTGAATTCCTTGTGGCATTAGCAGATTATTCTATTAAATGTTTTGATACAGGTAAGAAGTCCTCCTTTGTCTCTTGAAACAGAAAAGTTATAGATTAAAGTACTGTAAGAAGTTTACCCACTTGTATGGTGGAGAGAACAGCTCTCATCACACACAGCCCAAGCTCACCTCATTGGCTACATACCAGTTCAGGGTTCTCCAGCTACCCTCAAGTCCAGTAGTTCACTAGAATAACTCACAGAATTTAGCAAAGCATTGTACTCATGATTACAGTCTTAGCATAGCACAAGGATGCAGAGGCATCTGGGAAGTGTCCTTTGTCCTCTGGGCTGTCAGGATGGAATGTCCTCAGGGATGCATCACCATGCAGCGGTCTGTACCAAGTATTGCTGACCCAGAAAGTCTGTGGAAGACCACCTGAGCAGCTCTCCTTGAAAGAAGAGGGACTGTCTCCATTTTGGCTGAGCCTGACTATTTCCTTGTGTTGTTATGTACAGAGCTGGCCAGGACTTCTGTTTATCCTTCAGTTGGCCTTAAGCAATGTACATTGGTCTAGCTGAGGTGCTGGTGATAGTCTTTGAAGGTGGCATGCATGGTTCCCTGGTAACCTACACCTGCTGCTCTTTAATGTGAGGCGGATTGAGACAGGACGGAAGAGCTAATGCTCCACGCCACCAGCTGGGATGGAGCCTTGAGATAGAGGCTCTGACTTCCTGGGGCTTGAAAGGCTACATCAAAGCTGAAGCACCAGACTTGCCAAAACACTAGATACTATATAATGCAGATTACTCTCTCTGCATATCCTCTCTGCATATCGCAGAGGTAAATGTAGGCCACCCACCTAACTCAGCTCACAATGATCACCTACTTCCCACAGTTCTCAGTCAATCCTCCTCAAGCCACTCTCCTACTAAATAAAACCAGGTGAGGCCCTGGGTCGCTCTCTTGGTTCCAGAAAACCATCTTTGTGGCTGGATTTAGAGTCCCTTGACTCCCCGATGATTGAAAATATAATTTAGTGTCTTTATTTTTGCTGTGGGTTGCATTATAAGTGGTAGATTAGAATCAACTTGATGGGATTCCAATAATGTAACTTTGGGATTACGAATATTGGCTTCTTGGACCGAGATGAGGACCTGGAAGTGTCTCCTACAAAAGTCAACTCGGGCTGGTGAGATGGCTCAGTGGTCTAAAGCACCTACTTAGAACAAGCTTAGCAAAGCACAGGGACCAGGGTTCAATCCCCCAGCACCACATGCCAGCCAGCCTGCCTGCCCCGCCCCCTGGTGGGCTGGGCTGGCCACACACACACACACACACACACACACACACACACAAATAAAATTTTTTTAAAAGTCAGCTCAGGTTTTGTGTCAAGAGTTTGGTAGAGGGTCCATTACATAGGCACAGTTGATTGAATTATGCTCATGTGGTTCAATTCTGTTTCTAGCCACACTTCTTTCTCAAGAAGTTAGGCTGATGACATCTTCTAATTGCATGGGTGGTTTTCCTGGCATTGCCAGCCTCCACTCTGAGTCTTCATAACATAAACTATCATGTGTCATCTGGGAGCCCCATTGTGAATAACACAGACACAGATACTCCTGCCGTGTGGGAAGTTCCAGAGATTTAGAGTTAACCTCCTAGGAGTTTGGGCAAAAGTCAGACCTCCTCTGGAAGAGAGAGTCTTTGCTTTAGAAGGTATACTTTAAAAATACATAAAACCTACAGGGTTGGGGGCGTAGCGCAGTAGTAGAGTATTTGCCTACTGTATGTGAGACCATGGGTTCAGTCTTCAACACCATACACTTTCACATTCAAAATTCATAGCTATGTATTTTATACCGAGTCATTTTTTTTTAAGTGGAATTGTAGAGTGCAGCAGACTAGCCTTTTAAGGAGTAAGACTCCTTAGACAGAGAGAGGGATCTCAACTGTATTTTTTTATTGTTAAAGTAATTTGTATTATAATAAAGAGATATATAAATAAAAATAACAGTAATAGTAGTGACAGTGGGGCTGGGCAGATAGCTCAATAGAATAAACGCTTGCCCGGCAAGCGCGGGGTCCTGAGTTCAATTCCCAGTACCACACAAAAACAAACAGTGACAGTGACCTGGGTGTAGTGGGACACACCTGTAATCCAACACTCTGGGAGACTGAAATAGGACTTCGAGCCCAGACTGTGCAGTTTACTGACTTAGTGAGACCCAGTTTGAAAATTAAAAAACGAGGACTGAGGTTGAAGCTGAGTGTGAAGGCCATGGGTTCAATTCCCAATACCTCCAAAAACAAAAAGAAATTGACAACAAACATTTATGATATTCTTTACCAGTATTCTTACAGCATCCAATGATGAATTCTGACTCCTGTGTCTCCCACTCCATTGTACTGAGACTTCTATGTCCAAGATCATTAGTAACCTCTGATAGTTCAAATTCTGTATGTCATCCTACTTCTCAGTAGCGTTTATCACTTGATATTATAAGTCTTTAGTTTTCAGTCTACAGCCTTTGTTGGTTCTCCTGTCTTTCTTACTGCTTAGCAGTCTCTCCTGAAATTCTTTGTTTGTTTGTTTGTTTTAGTTTATGTATTTGGTACAGGGTCTCCTGCAGCTCAGACTCAAAACAGTCCTCCTGTTTTTAGCCTCCCCAGCGCTGGGATTACAGGTGTGTGCCACCACAGCCAGACTTGGTGGCCTGATCAGTGTGCCTGGAGGCGTGGTTGGCACAGCGCATGGTGACAGGGGTCGAACCCTGGTCCCTGCACTTGCCTAAGTCTGCTGAGCTATCTTGCTGGCCCTTCTCCTAGATTCTTTGAGTGGTTCCTAGACATTTGGATTTTCAGTGTAACAAAAATACAGTAATTTACTTACTATTCAATTTTTAGTTTTGTTAATTGACGTTGGAAAAAACAAATGATTGTATTTCTTAAAATAAGGGATTTTTTTCCCCAACATAAACTTCAAGAAACATGTACTAAAGAGCAGTGCTTTAAATTTTGTTCCATGAAAAATTGAGTACACTATCCTTATTTTTTTCATTTCCCTGAAAACCAGTGAAAAATTAATGCCAATCTTTGGAGTACTATTTGGAAACCACTACTGAAACCACTAAGAATTGTTCCTGTCTTCAGTTTTAACCTTCTTTGCACTGTAATGTTTGCTAGGCTTATGTCTTGCTTTCTGACTATTCTTTTTCAATCATTCCAGAGAAACAATTTGATTATAAAAGTAAAATATACCTATGGTAGAAAATGTGGAAACAGAAAAGTACTGTATGAGGATAAAATAAAAATCACTTTTTTAATTTCACTACCCAGTGACAATTATCATGAACAATTTTAGTGTTTTCCCTATCAGACTATTTTCTCAGCTTACACAGACGTACCTCTCAAAAGCAGATTTTAAAGTTGAATTTATTACCTTTTTCCTATACTGATGAACCTGTTCCTCTTCTTTTCTTTGCTTTCTTTTTTTCTTTTTTATTTTTATTTTATTTTATTTTTTTATTTTATTTTTAGGGAAGGGCCT